GTGATTATTGTGCATGGAATATCTCTTTAAATAATCTACAAGTGCCCCTCCCGAGATCAGGCTCTGGATCCGCCACTGGTATATGACATGCATATTAATGTGTGCATTAGTTATATGTATATATATATATATATATATAGAATAATGCCTATTATATTTACACGTATATTAATGTACATTTATATATGCGTAATACACAGAGGAATGACATTAATATGTACCATATGTAATGAGCAGATATTGGCCCAGTCTTGTGGCTAGGTGCATACTCCAGCACAATAACATATTTAAAGGACTTCAAAATAAAACATTTTTACAGTTGTGCCGTACATACATTCACCATTTCAGTCCCATTACCAACCTTTCCTTAATATGTCAAGGCAGCTGGACTGAAACATTGATTACATGCAAAGGCACATCTGCTTAAAATAAATCTGCACTTTTGTTTATTTTGAAGCCTATGAGTGCTCTTTTTACGTTGGAGTAATAATTTTACGTTATCTGTTCTAACTCTGTATCTGCACACTATGCTGGCGCGACGCATTATGGGGCTGGTAAATATTTTTTTTCCAGGGCTGCTTTTAATTCCCAGTCCAGCCCAGCCTTTAACTCAATCACATATAGACTGTTTTAGCAGAAGTGAATTAAAAGATATTGGTACATTCGCTTTACTACAAATATATGCATGACCCACCCACTAAATCTCCCTATATTTTACCTCTCCGGATTCACCAGTACAGCAGTCTTCCTCTGTTACCAGCTTTCCGGGAACATCCACCCTTTTATAGTGATCTCAAAGAATGAAAGTGAAAGTAAAACTAGTTTGTTGTTTTAAAAGCATCGCATAGTTTGTGTCAGTTAACAGTTTTTTTTTTTTCTTTTCTTATTAACCCTTTCAGTAGAGATATTGCTAAGACATTCACATCTGGTATCTGGATATATATTATCCACGTAAAAACGACTTAAGGTGTATCTGTAACGGGTACACTAATTACTGCAATCCGTTTTATAATAAAACAAGTCAAAATAAACAATTCAGTTATGATTTTCAGTGGAAAATGAGAAGAAATAAACTCTGCAAACATCCATGTATGAACCTCGCAATACACATCAAAATACTGTGCAAAACGCGACACAAAGTTAAAAAAGAAAAAAAGTGGAGCGTGTGCAAAAGTTTTAAAAGGGTTTTAATTCAAGTAAATTTAATTAGTAAATTGGCTCAACGAGCCAATTTACTAATATTTGCCAAAGTTCTGGACATAGTGTGCCTCTCTGGGATGGTTCCACCCCAAGTTTCCTTCTCCTGTGCCTCCTTTTTCTTCTTTTCATTCTCCTTGACACGCTGAAGGACGTTGTCTCTATTCTTAGAGTGAGGAATGTGTTCAACACGCACGTTTATTCTTTTGGCAAGAATTTAGTTGCCAACATTTGAAAACAAATTCCAGGGACACTTTGCAGCACAGCTATTAATTACTACCTTGAAAATGTACCACCCCCCACTGCCTTAAAGCTTCCACCCCATGTCCAACCCACATAATTCATCTCTGCCTACTTATCGTAGTGCAGATTATAGGATCTATTCAATAAAAAAGAGAACTACAAGGAATTGAGATGGTAATTTTAAACTTAAGGCCAAAGTTGGAAAAATTCTCTCATTCAGCTGCACTATTTCGACCTAAAGTTTGAAATTCCCATCACAATTCCCTGCTATTCTCTCTTTATTAACCCCTTAAGGACTGGACCTTTTTTGCGATGTTGTACATTTGCGACCAGGCATATTTTTACACTTTTGTGGTGTTTGTGTTTGGCTGTAATTTTCCGCTCTCTCATTTACTGTTCCCATACAAATTATATATTGTTTTTTTCAGGACAAAAGGGGCTTTCTTTACATACCATTATTTATATAATCTCATGTATTTTAATTTAAAAAAAATAAAAAAATATGATGAAAAATTTAAAAAAATACATGTTTTTTGACTTTTACTTGAAAAATCTTTTACTCATCTACAAAAGCGAATGAAAAAAACTGCTAAATAGATTCAAAATGTTGTCCTGAGTTTAAAAATACCCAGTGTTTACGTGCTTTTTTGCTTTTTTTTTGCATGTTATAGGGCTATAGGTACAAGTAGGATATTGTGGTTTCAAAACATACATTTTTAAAATTTATCAATAGTGACATTGTAACACTATTATCTGTCATAAATCTCTAAATAACACCCCACATGTACATATTTTTTTTAAAGTAGACAACCCAGGGTATTCAATATGGGGTATGTCCAGTCTTTTTTAGTAGCCACTTAGTCGAAAACACTGGCCAAAGTAAGCATTCATATTTGTTTGTGTGTGAAAAAAGTAAAAAAACTAAATTGAACGCTAATTTTGGCCTGTGTTTGTGACCAAGTGGTTACTAAAAAAGACTGGACATACCCCATTTGCAATACCTTGGGTTGTCTTCTTTTGCAAATGGTATGCCATCATGGGGGTAATTCTCATTCCTGGGCTACCATACGCTCTCAAAGGCAACGTAACCAACCTGGCCATTTTCAATGTAAAAATATTTGACCCATATATTTGACCTTGTAACTTTCAAAAATGCTATAAAACCTGTACATGGGGGGTACTGTTTTACTCGGGAGACATCGCTGAACACAAATATTAGTGTTTAAAAACTGGAAAACGTATCACAACAATTATATCATCAGTAAAAGTGCTGTTTGTGTGTGAAAAATGCAAAAAAAGTCACTTTCACTGACAATATCATCGCTGTGATATGTTTTACTGTTTTGAATCACTAATATTTGTGTTCAGCGAAGTCTCCCGAGTAAAACAGTACCCCCCATGTACAGGTTTTAGGGTGTCGTAGAACGTTACAGGGTAAAATACAGTGCTAGCAAATTAAATTCTCTGGAATTTCGGCCTGGGTTGGCAGGCAGGTCCCTCAAATTGCAATCAATAAAATTACTGAATTATGTAAAAATATTACATAAATACGCACGTAGAATTTAAATATATATGCATATTTATATATTTGAAGTCTACGTGTATATTTATATAATTATTTATGTAATTTTGTATATGGACATATGTTTATTTCGTATTATTTTTATTTATTTATATATACATAGATATATATACAAATTAATTCTAAGTGTATTTTGATATAAATATATATATATATTAATTTTAAAATACAGTTAGAATAAAATTTCATATAGATATATAATTTTTTTTAATTTTTTTATTATTATTTAAAAAAAAATTATTTAATTTAAATTACTTATTATTTATATTTTATACTAATATATATACAATATATATAGTTATTATATATATTATACATATACGTGTGTAATTTAATTATAAGTGTATTTTTATATTAATATAAGTACATATTAATATAAAAATACACTTAGTATGACATTATATATATGATATATACACATATATAATTATTATTTTTTTTTTATTAACATTAACTTTATTTTTTTTTAATTATTTTACACATGCAGGGAGACTGCCTGTCAGCACAGACAGTCCCCCTGCAGGCAGACACATGGACACCCATTGTGACCATGTGATCGCTGTGTTAAGCGATCACATGGCTCCAGGGGTCCTAATTCAGTGTGGGGAGACTGCCTGGGCTGCAGGCAGTCTCCCCACAACCGGAGCCACGCTGATCACCGCCGGGGGAATGACGGCGATCAGGTAAGTACCTCTGACCGTTAGGACGGTTCAGGACCGTCATCGGTCTGCAAGGCAAAAATGCCGATGACGGTCCTGAACCGTCCTCGGTCGTGAAGGGGTTAAATAGACCTTTATAACACAAAGTTCCCACCAACAGTACCATGCATCCTTGGTGTGCAATAGATACATTCGCAGCACAGCATCTATTTCAGGCAGGTACATTTTATCACTTTAACGTGAGTTGGGTATCAGTGGTGACTCTGTCAGTACAAGAACAAATATAGAAATACCTTGTGCAGATGTTCTTTAGTCAGAGAGTTGTATCTACACCATAGAACAGGGATAGGCAGCCTTCGGCACTCAAGATGTTTTAGACTACATCCCACATAATGCTCTGACACTCGACTTTCCGAACCCTGGTCCCAACGTACGAACGCTGGATCTTCGCTTCACGAACCACTAGGAGAGCGTTATTCGGTACTTTTGTTCAATGACTGAGAGGAACAATCGCTGCTAGGAGCCAGGGGAAACCGTTCATGGATTTATTCAGTTTTTGAGACATTTCGAACTAGACCGGCAAAAACCACCAAAACGTGTGGAACTGTTTTAGGCAGGAGCCTCGTGGGTAGCCGGTCACCTAAGACCTCCTTGGAATTCGAAAACCCCTGAACTGATCTGGGTCATTTTTGGATATGTTGGTCGCCCAGATCAGGACTATCAGGGGATATGACCGTTTTGGGGATACCTTGTGTTTTAAGGGGTGTTTTGAAAGTTGGGTAAAATTGTGATTTTTCTGCCTGGAGATAATTAAGTTATTACTTTATCAGCCTTAATTATCTCCAGGTCGAGAGAAGTGAATTATATGTTTGTACTGGGTGTGTTTAAGTATTTCTGTGCTTATGATTGGATGTATGATTTATGTTCCTGTGGGAGGTCCCTTCGCACGGGGATTTGCACAAAAGCCAGTGTGGTATCATTAAACTTCAGTTCTGTTATATCCTTCATCTAGACTTCAGCTGATGTTTGGGTACCTGTCTGCTTTACTAAGGGAATCTAATAGGGAAGCTGTTAGTTGTATGGAAATTGTTTATTTTATTTCGTCGAACGGAGAGTTATAATCACTGATACTCTGGACGTTCGGTATGAAACTAACAAATGGTTATTGGTTATACCAGGTTTCCTTACAACTATAATTCCAACTGCATGCTGAGTGACATTGTAAATCTTGCCATGGTAACATTTGTGGGGCATACCTTTTTGAATTGTGCCCATTGCCTTTATGTCCACAATATCACCCTTCTTGTAGATGCACATGTATGTTGAAAGTGGAACCCCATGTTTACGGAAGGGTCTGGCAAACATATATAATGGGTTCTACATCCTCTTCTTCGTGTGTTCGTCATTTTTGCAATTTACTGCAAGATGGCGGGTACGGTGCAAAGAGGATACCTGTTTGAATTTTAATTGCTGGTTGCATTGGTATTTTCAACTGTACATAAGAAAAGAACAAAACATGTTGTGTTAATCTGTGGGAAAATCTGCTAAATGGTGATATAATCAATTAACGCACACAAAGAGCCAAAATGACGATGACTGGTAACTCCTTCGATCACCAAATCCCGGTATCCCTTCAATTCCCAATAAGTAACGCAAAACCATGTTAAGTGGGTAAGGGCAACGGCCACAGCTTTATTTAAACCAGCATAACCAAATACTGTCAGCTGCTGGTTTTACCCAGCAGGCAGGTACACTTTAAACTTCTTCCAGAGCCTCTTCAGCCTGTCCTTCGACATCAACCAAATTCAGGCTGCGACTCCCCAAGTCCGTCCGGGCATCATTCATTTACCAAACTTGCTGGCGCAGGAAACCCGCAGCTGTGACAAAATTCAGTACAAAGAAAACACAACACAACAATTCCACAACAGAACCATTGTGGATTGTGGGTGGGGCAAGACACTGCCAGGCTCCCTCAGCATTGTCCACCAGTAGTCTGGTACTTTTTCTCTCAATTCCCTGCTTTCAACTGTAAAACCAACTGTATCCTTTGGTTGCTATGCCAGCCCCTCAGGGGAGCAGTCGTGCTCCCCCCTTTCTATTCGCTCCAGGGGTTGGCCTGTCTCTAAAGTGTGAAGCATATGAGTGCATGTTGTAGGTTTGTATTTGCTTTTATATTACACAGCCATGTTACAATGCTGTCGCACACACCAGGTGTTCCCTGTTAAAGGTAGGATTTAAAAAAAATACCCCTGTTTGTATCATTAGAGATTCTACTTAAGCATGGTGAATTGTTAGTGCAGAGGGCTCACCTAAGAGGTTTTGCCTTGACGTGACACGTGAGCTTACCATTAAATTGCCATTGGAATTCTAGTAAAAAAAAAACACCAGTTATTTAAATGTGCATAGGGATTAGGGATAGGGCACAAGTAATGCCGCCCCGGAGTAGTGGGAGTCTGAACACAATGCTTAATGAATTTTTTGTATGTATTCAGCATGTTATTCTTAGTAGGAAGGAAGGGTGGAAAGAACATGTTCAGGTAAATGCCCTGGGGAGACACTATGAGTGTGGGGATAGATGCGTGGGAGTGGTTTGGTAAGAATGTGTGGGTGGGATTATGTTCTATCTGAGTTAGTAAGGGGGTGGTCTTACCTCAGTGCCACTTGGGATTCGGGCCAGCAAACCGCTTCCCCCCCACCCGCCCCTTTAGTATAGTTAGTCACAGCTAGCCGGGGTTATGTCCTTGCCAATTAAGTTTGAGGGGTTACGTTTAAGGATATGGAGTGAGTTCAATAAGTTCGCAGGTCCCAATCTCCCCTGCTTAAAAGGATTAACATTAGGTTACCTGGGATGTCGTGCCCATCGAGCGCGGATAAGGTCGGCTGGTGGCAGGCACTGAAAGGAAATGATTTTATACCGAGGGGGGAGGTGAGAGGAAGTGGTACATAGGAGCAATGTATGTTTATTGGCAAGGACGGTTGGGTTTATTGTATAGCACTACATGTTAAGTTATATATGTATATATGTTAAGTTATGCTTATTTTTGTTTAACGTTGTTTGGTTACAGAAAAAGAAGAGAAATTAGTTAATACATTTATGGATGTGTTATGCAGTATTTTATCATATGTGATAATAAATGCTGTGGCCTGTTTCATCCATACTAAGTTGTCTGTCATTATGGGGGGGTTGAATAGGGTTAGTTTATGTAGTATGCTGCATCGCGATTCCCCACTACGTACATACATGTGCTATGCTTAGAGGAAAGAGGCCCATTTGAGGGTTTGTGTGATAGAAAATTGCAGATAAACAGACTTCGTTTTGTGAAAGTGAAAGTATGCAGATACTGTAGTGCTTAGAGCATAAATTGCTTAGGGTGGGGTGCGAGCAGTATATAACCACATTGTGAGTTGCAGATTTTACTTCTGACTTCCCAGAAATGGTTAGCGTTTCAGGAAACCATGCAAGACATTTACTGTCTCTGCGAGAATATATACAGTGGGCTCACTTGTTCTACTTTCAGCTAAAACTGTATTAACCAAAAGGCATGGACATTGCATTATTGCCTCTACCAGATTCAGACCCATGAATTTGAAATAAACTAAGAAAACATTGAGCATAATTTCACACACTCAGAATATCACTGCTGCTCAAAGTTTGACAGGTTAATGCGGAAAGTGAGCCTTCACGTTAGCCATGTGGTATTAACAGAGGGGCCAACTCTAGGCACCACGAGATCCCCTGTTTCTGTCAAACAACTCAAAAATCAGGGTAACTAAGCTGGAAAGGAATTACACCCACAGATAATTTACCCCTTTAACCAATACCATGAGCTGTAATGGTTAGTGTCTACAGTGTCCCTTTTATTCCTATGCACTTATCTACTCAGAATAAAGCCTAAAGACCCGGTATGTCAAACTCTATCTTCTAAATTCCACAGAATAACTTCTTTTTTTTTTAAATTGTTTATTTAGTTGTCTGTGTTTATTTCATCATCCATTAATATTTGTTTCACTTTTTTACTAAAAGGTTTATAGGTCTCCCTGGTGTGGGGTAGAGGAACAATTTAGATTTAATTGTTCTAATCTGTTTGTTTTTGTTCACTGTAGAATGTTAGTTTATTTTATTTATACCATGTGGACTTAACCCCTTAAGGACAGAGGCCATTGTACATGTTCTGGTCAAAACAAAATGTAAACACAATGTGGAATATGACTATATGACTGTAGATTTCTCAGGTCTCTCACACTGCCATGGACTTGTCACCAAATTTATGCTTTCCGCTTATCGCCTTCAGATCTGAGAAAAGACCCGTTAGAAATAACACACAGGGCAACACAATTTATTTCAATCAAGCATTTCATACTTTCCATCACAACAAAGGGGATATATAGATTATTAGTCTAGGGCAGCATTTCCCAATTGGGGTTCCGCTGTGAATCGCTACATCCATGATGGCCACCGCTCCCTGCTGTTCCTGGAAGGTCGGAAACAGCAGAGATTGCGCAACCGCGATTTTATTCAGAGATTGTAACACTGTGCCATTATGCATATGAAAAAAGGGGGTTCATTGCATTCAACCTAACATGCTTAAAATGGGGTGCTGCTGGGGGGGTGGAGAGGGGCAAATACATGCAGTAAAAAAATTTTTGTTACCTAGATTAGGTATTTTTAATAAAACTTATAAAATCTGTCAGCACCAAAGTAGCTGTTTAGTGGATAGGGAGTGCAATGGTTTTTCATTGTTGTGCCATTATGCGTGACTGCCGTCAGTCATTTCATATGCACTCAGTGATAGAGTGGAAGTATTCAGGCAGACGCTCAGCTCACAATATTGCCCACAGGAGAGAGGATTTCTCTTACTGCCCTTTAGAGTAGTGCCCATTGTGGCATATAGGGATATGTTTATTTATTTATTTATTTGTAGAGATTGTTGTTACGGCACCCCCAGGCATAAAAGGGGTTAACAGCCGTTTAGTAGATCTTCCCCTTCCAGAGACACAGGCAGCAACTGTAGACACCAATGCAACGTTTACATTTTTATTTTATTTATTTATTTTTTTTAAAGGGTTTTAATTCAAGTAAATTTAATTAGTAAATTGGCTCAAGGAGCCAATTTACTAATCTTTGCCGAAGTTCTGGACATAGTGTGCCTCTCCTAGGATGGACAGGCTGACGTTTAAGCTCCACCCGTTTCCTTCTCCTGTGCCTCTTTTTTCTTCTTTTCGTTCTCCTTGACACGCTGCAGGAAGTTGTCTCTACTCTTAGAGTGAGGAATGTGTTCAACACGCACGTTTATTCTTTTGGCAAGAATTTAGTTGCCAACATTTGAAAAAAAATTCCAGGGACACTTTGCAGCACAGCTATTAATAATTACTACCTTGAAAATGTACCACCCCCACTCAGTGGTGTATCCTGGTTTTGTGCTGCCCTAGGCAGGACAAAACTCAGGCGCCCCCCAAAACCCCCCCTAATCCCCCCACGCGCGCGCGACCCACACCCATCCCTTCCCCCCGCCCCTCCTTCTAAATACACACACACACTCACTGACAGATAGCATACACTAGCTAACAGAAACACAAACTCACTGACACACACACACTCACTCACTAGCAGACACACACTAGCAGACACACACACTCACTGACACACACACTCACAGGCAAACGTACACACACAGTCAGACACAAACACAGTCAGACACACACACACACACACAAACACACTCACTCACTAGCAGACACACTCACTCACTAGCAGACACACACTAGCAGACACACTCACTGACACACACACTCACAGGCAAACACACTCACACTAACAGTCAGACACACACACTCACTAACAGACACACACACACTCACTAACAGACAGACACACTCACTAACATACACACTCACTGACAGAAACACTCACTAACAGACACACTCACTAACAGACACTCACTGACGCACTCACTAACAGACACACTCACTAACAGTCACACTTACTAACAGACACACACACTCACTCACTCACTCACTAACAGACACACTCACTAACAGTCACACTTACTAACAGACACACACACTCACTCACTAACAGACACACTCACCAACAGACACACACTAACAGACACACTCACACACACACACTAACAGACACACACACACACTCTCACACTAACAGTCAGACACACACACACATACACTCGCTGACACACACACTCACAGGCAAACATACACACACAGTCAGACACAAACACACTCATTCACAAGCAGACACACACACTCACTAGCAGACACACACTAGCAGACACAAACACTCACTGACACACACACTCACAGGCAAACACACTCACACTAACAGTCAGACACATACACACTAACAGACACACACTCACTAACAGACACACTCACTGACAGACACACTCACTGACAGACACACTCACTAACAGACACACTCACTGACACACACTCACTGACACACACACACTAACAGACACACTCACTAACAGACACACTCACACACACACTAACAGACACACACACTCACTGACACACTTACAGACACACTCACACACTAACAGACACACACACTAAAAGACACACTCACTAACAGACACACTCACACACACACTAACAGACACACTCACTGACACACTCACACATATACACACACTAACAGACACACACTCACACACACACTCACACACTAACAGACACACACTAGCAGTCACACTCACTAACAGACACACTCACACACACACTAACAGACACACACACTAACAGACACACTCACACACACTAACAGACACACACACTCACACTAACAGACACACACACTAACAGACACACTAACAGACACACACACACTCACATTAACACATTTATTTTTTTTAACCCCCCCTCCCCAGCCTCCTTACCTTTGTGAATGCTGGGGGGGAGGGGTTTCCTTTCTCCCTGGTGGTCCAGTGGCTGCTGGCTGATAGTCGGCCGCCCGCCCGCCAGCCACTGGACCACCAGGGAGAGAGAGACCCCCCCGCAGCTTTCCCAAAAGTAAGGAGGCGGTAGGGGGTTTTAAATAATAAAAAAAGTGTTAATGTGAGTGTGTGTGTCTGTGTGTGTCTGACTGTGTGTGTGTGTGACTGTGTGTGTGTTTGTGTCTGACTGTGTATGTGTGTGTTTGTGTCTGACTGTGTATGTGTGTGTTTGTGTCTGACTGTGTGTTTGTGTGTGTCTGACTGTGTGTGTGTGTGTGTGTTTGTGTGTGTGTGTCTGACTATGTGTGTGACTGTGTGTGTGTTTGTGTGTGTGTTTGTGCTGTCTGACTGTGTGTGTGTGTGTTTGTCTGTGTGTGTGTCTGACTGTGTGTGTGTGTCTGACTGTGTGTGTGTTTGTGTCTGACTGTGTGTGTATGTGTGTCTGACTGTGTGTGTGTGTTTGTGTCTGACTCTGTGTGTGTGTGTGTATGTTTGTGTCTGACTGTGTGTGTGTGTGTTTGTGTCTGACTGTGTGTGTGTCTTACTGTTTGTGTGTGTGTGTATTAAGAAGGTGGGGCTGGGGGGAAGGGCTGGATGGGGGTGGCGTGGGGGAAGGGGGGTGCCTGAGTTTTGTCCTGCCTAGGGCAGCACAAAACCAGGATACACCACTGTGCATGTTGTAGGTTTGTATTTGCTTTTATATTACACAGCCATGTTACAATGCTTTCGCACACACAGGTGTTCCCTGTTAAAGGTAGGATTTTAAAAAAAATACCCCTGTTTGTATCATTAGAGATTCTACTTAAGCATGGTGAATTGTTAGTGCAGGGCTCACCTAAGAGGTTTTGCCTTGACGTGACACGTGAGCTTACCTTTAAATTGCCATTGGAATTCTATTAAAAAAAACACCAGTTATTTAAATGTGCATAGGGATTAGGGATAGGGCACAAGTAATGCCGCCCCGGAGTAGTGGGAGTCTGAACACAATGCTTAATTAATTTTTTGTATGTATTCAGCATGTTATTCTTAGTAGGAAGGAAGGGTGGAAATAACATGTTCAGGCAAAGGCCCTGGGGAGACAGCGCAGCTAAGCAGACAAGGGCACATGTATGAGTGTGGGGATAGATGCGTGGGAGTGGTTTGGTAAGAATGTGTGGGTGGGATTATGTTCTATGTGAGTTAGTCTTACCTCAGTGCCACTTGAGATTCGGGCCAGCAAACCGCTTCCCCCTCCACCGGCCCATTTAGTATAGTTAGTCACAGCTAGCCGGGGTTATGTCCTTGCCAATTAAGTTTGAGGGGTTACTTTTAAGGATATGGAGTGAGTTCAATAAGTTCGCAGGTCCCAACCTCCCCTGCTTAAAAGGATTAACATTAGGTTACCTGGGATGTCGTGCCCATCGAGCGCGGATTAGGTCGGCTGGTGGCAGGCACTGAAAGGAAATGATTTTATACCGAGGAGGGCGGTGAGAGGAAGTGGTACATAGGAGCAATGTATGTTTATTGGCAAGGACGGTTGGGTTTACTGTATAGCACTACGTGTTAAGTTATATATGTATATATGTTAAGTTATGCTTATTTTTGTTTAACATTTTTTGGTTACAGAAAAAGAAGAGAAATTAGTTAATAAAGTTATGGATGTGTTATGCAGTATTTTATCATATGTGATAATAAATGCTGTGGCCTGTTTCATCCATACTAAGTTGTCTGTCATTATGGGGGGAGTTGAATGGGGTTAGTTTATGTAGTATGCTGCATCGCGATTCCCCACTACGTACATACATGTGCTATGCTTAGAGGAAAGAGGCCCATTTGAGGGTTTGTGTGATAGAGAATTGCAGATAAACAGACTTCGTTTTGTGAAAGTATGCAGATACTGTAGTGCTTAGAGCATAAATTGCTTAGGGTGGGGTGCGAGCAGTATATAACCACATTGTGAGTTGCAGATTTTACTTCTGACTTCCCAGAAATGGTTAGCGTTTCAGGAAACCATTTAAGACATTTACTGTCTCTGCAGTGGGCTCACTTGTTCTACTTTCAGCTAAAACTGTATTAACCAAAAGGCATGGACATTGCATTATTGCCTCTACCAGATTCAGACCCATGAATTTGAAATAAACTAAGAAAACATTGAGCATAATTTCACACACTCAGAATATCACTGCTGCTCAAAGTTTGACAGGTTAATGCAGAAAGTGAGCCTTCACGTTAGCCATGTGGTATTAACAGAGGGGCCAACTCTAGGCACCACGAGATCCCCTGTTTCTGTCAAACAACTCAAAAATCAGGGTAACTAAGCTGGAAAGGAATTACACCCACAGATAATTTACCCCTTTAACCAATACCATGAGCTGTAATGGTTAGTGTCTAGTGGTTAGGGTCTATGCACTTATCTACTCAGAATAAAGCCTAAAGACCTGGTATGTCAAACTCTATCTTCTAAATTCCACAGAATAACTTCTTTTTTTTTTTTTATTGTTTATTTAGTTGTCTGTGTTTATTTCATCATCCATTAATATTTGTTTCACTTTTTTACTAAAAGGTTTATAGGTCTCCCTGGTGTGGGGTAGAGGAACAATTGAAGATTATATTAGCTTTTAGTGTACTAATAATCTTAATTTTAGTAATGACAGGAGGCGAATATTTGCATATCTTTCTTTACTGAAAACTCCAGCAGCATAGAAACAGTAACAACCAATCAGAAAAAAGATATGATGCCCATAAAGGGCCCTGTCTATGACATCACTTCCTCTTTCTTTGACGCGAAAAATAGGTAACAACAAAAACACAAACATATTCAGTTAACAGTTCAACAATAGAGCAGGAAACATAACTCCGGTAATTCCATGGTGTAACGGTATGAGAAGGCGAGTTCTTGTCCCGAAGAGAAGACGTTCACGCTGAAATAAAAAGAAAAGGGTGAGAGGTCTCTGAAGTGGAAAACTGTCCGCATGCAACAAACATAAGTAACCTGACCATTCTAATGGATACAGACTGTGATAACTATCAACACTGTATAAAAAACCGTAAGTTAAAACATTTAATAAGTAAAACGAACATAATACAATGTACATGATCACGAACCCAACAATGTCGTACTAGAGACAGCTACATGTCTAAGCAGTAATACAATCCTAACATGCATGTTATCCTGAACACTAGAACATACACTATATAACACGAGATAACTAGGGAGGGATCCCATAGGGTGGGAAATATTCGCCTCCTGTCATTACTAAAATTAAGATTATTAGTACACTAAAAGCTAATATAATCTTCAATTTTACCACATTACAGGAGGCTTCATATTTGCATTTTTAAAGCTTAGAATTGACTAGTGTGAAGGAGGCGTGAGAGGATTGGCGAAAATAAAAAGTCCTAAACGTACTCTCCCGAGTCCAGTCAGCGCAACGCATAATGTCGGGTAGGGATGCGCCTGCCAAGAAGGCTTGGGATGCTGCCGCACCCCTGACCGAATGTGCTCCAAAGCTAGGTTCGATACCTGCTAGCCTAAGTAGCCATCGTACCCATCTGGCCAGGGTTGTTGTAGACACCGGAGCGTGAGGTCTTACGTAGGAGATCAGCAACTGACCCGTCGGGGTGAGCCGAAGGTTGGCTGTGACTTCCGTATACCTCAGAAGTGTCCTGACAACGCACAGCTTGGGGTCCGATTCAAAGTATGGATAAGACACTGAGGACGAGTCTGATTTAGTCCGTCTAGAAATGGAGAAGGTGACCCCCTCCGGAGTGAGAGAGAAACCGTCCACGTCAAAGGCCCTAACGTCTGACACCCGTCGAAATGAGACGAGGCATAACAAAAGGGCCAGTTTCGCTGAAAGCTGTTTCAGCGATAGAACGGGGTTGTCCGGCCAGCCCCGCAGGAAATCCAGCACCCCATTCACCTGCCAGAGGTTGGAGTATTTGGGTGCAGGGGGTCTTGTAAGTTTGGCACCTCGCAGTAGACGGCATACCAGAGGATCTTGACCCACTGGCCTGCCTTGTACTGGGACGTGCGCCGCTGAAATAGCCGATCTGATCACGTTAAGGGATCTATATGATCGACCCGTCGAGAACAGATGAGCGAGATAGTTGAGGATCAGTGGGACAGAGGCAGTAAAGGGATCGGAATCCCTTTCCATGCACCAAGCACTCCAGGCTGACCAGGCGGATATGTAACATCTCCTGGTGCCGGGGGCCCATGAGTCCCATAGGAGGTCTTTAGTAGGTTGCGATAGGCCATGGACCGACCAGGAGCCCCTGAAATCGTCCAGGCCACCAGTTCTAGTTGTCCTTCCAGGACGAGGGGATGGGGTTCCCCCCGAGGTCCCGACAGGAGCAACGGGTAGGTCGGGAGCCGAAGGGGATGGTCGTGCGACATCTCCAGGAGGTCCGGAAACCATGGTTGGCTCTGCCAAAGTGGTGTTATGAGCAGGAGCGATATCCTGTGAGTGCGGGAGTATCGCAGTACCCTTGGGATCAGTGAGAACGGAGGGAAAGCATAGGCCCCAAGGGGGGGCCAGTCCTGCAGGAATGCATCCGCTGCTTCGCCCTTCGGATCCGGAAGCCAACTGTAGTACCTTGGTAGTTGGTGGTTGGTCCTGGAGGCGAACAAGTCTATTGTTAGAGGGCCCAACCGCTGACGTAGCGTCTGAAATATCTCCCTGTTGAGTTTCCAGTCGCTGGTGTCTCTCCAGTGGCGTGAGAACCAATCCGCCGTCAGGTTGGAGATACCTGGGAGGTATTCTGCTTGCAGCGTGATGTTTTTCCGTAGGCAGAAACTGTAGATGTCTTTCGTGGCTTCGGTCAGGTCCTTTGACCTCGCTCCGCCCAGGCGGTTGATGTATTGTACCGCTGAGACATTGTCCATGCGGAGCAGGATACAGCAATTCGACCTGTCTTTGGCCAGGCTGCGGATGGCGAAGGATCCCGCGATCAGTTCCAAGCAGTTGATGTGTAGGCTGGTCTCCTCCTCCTGCCATGGGCCTCCCGTGGAGGCGTCCGTGCAACGAGCGCCCCATCCCCACAGGCTGGCGTCCGATTCCACTATGAAGTCCGGCGAAGGGCCGAAGATCGCTTTGCCGTTCCAGGCTTGTATATGTAGTAACCACCATCGTAGTTCCGACCTCACTTCCGACGAGAGTGGGATCCAGTGGTCGTAGGAGTGTCCGGTGCGCAGATATTCTGCTTTCAGCCGTTGCATGGCCCTGTAGTGTAGAGGGCCCGGGAATATCGCTTGTATGGAGGAGGAAAGGAGTCCCACGATTCGGGCGAGCATCCTGAGCGGTATTGTGTCCATCTTCAGGACCCGTCTGATTTCCTTCCTTATTGAAGCTATCTTTTTCGATGGAAGGCGTAGTACGCATTCCTTCGAATCTATGTCGAACCCCAGGAATTGGACCGACTGGGAGGGAGAGAGAGACGACTTCTGTCTGTTCACTACGAAACCCAGGGATTCTTGCGAGTGAACGACAAATTTCGTCTGTGATCGCAGCCTGGATGCGGATTCGCAAAAGATTAGCAAATCGTCCAAGTAAACGAGGCAGCGTATGCCCCTCGTTCGGATGTGAGCCATCACTGGTCTCAGCAGCTTCGTGAAACACCACGGAGCTGAGCTGAGGCCGAATGGCAGGCAGGTAAATTGGCATATCCGTCCTTTCCATCGGAAACGGAGGAATTGCCTGCATTGGACGTCCACTGGGACGGATAAATACGCATCTTTGAGGTCCAGGCGAGTAAACCAGTCGTTCTTGACGAGAAGGTCTTGTAGAAGGTGGATTCCTTCCATCTTGAAGTGTCTGTAAATTACGAATGAGTTTAACTGTCGGAGGTTGATAACCGGCCTGTATTCGCCCGTCTTCTTCTTGACCAAGAAAATGTTGCTTAGAAAGCCTCCCCCGTCCGGTGCGTATTGTATCGCGCCTTTCTCGAAGAGGGCGCGGACCTCTTCGTCTATTAGG